AAAAGACCATTAGAGCAGAATCACAGCTAGCAAAGGCTCGCTCTCTCTCTAGTGCCCTAAATCTGACCCAATCTGCCTCTTTGGCTTTTGGGGAAAGTGAGTCTGAAAGCTTGTCTGTGATATGACAGCCCAGTGAGAGGTTAGGCAGTGTCCCAAGTGAACAAAGTTGTGCCCAGTTTAACACAGGGCTGTTTTATATAGAAATGTTGTGGATGGAGAAATGTTTCCCTTCATATGGTAGCAAAAGTCAAAAGGTACATAGTCTGAAAAGGGAATTCCTCTGTCTGGTGTAGTACTTAGAGGGACGGGGAAAACAAAGCTTGGGTACTCTGGAATACAACAGGAGCAATGCTATGTTCCAGGGAAGAGGGAGACTTCTGGATGGAGGGGCAGGAAGAGACAGCAGCCAGGGTGGGGGTTAAGGAAGGTGCAGGTTTGCAAGAGAGGGATTCTGGAAGTGTCCAGTGTGGGAGGGCTTAGGAGAGGCATATAAATGGATGGAGAAGGAAATCACAGTATAACGAGGAAGAGGTGCATGCACAACGGTTTGTGTTGATTACAACTTCAGCACATGTTTTCCATGTTTCAGCTTTGTTTCTCTGAATTAAAAACTGCTTGTGGCCTGATTGCTGGCCTGTTTGGCAATTTTTTTCTTCCAAGCAAGGGAGAAATTACAGATTTTACAGAATCTGAATTATAAATTACAGAAATTACTGCAGAATGCAATGGAAGTATTTGAGCTTCCTAAATGCTATCTTACTCAAGTTCTGGAAGCAGTCTTTCCACAGGAAAGTTTGAAGATCCATCCAGTTCAATTTATTTAGCAGGCAGGTTGTTAGTGTTTTGCAGCCTTTGTATAAAACTTCGTGCTGCTGCAGACAGCCAACCAAACTGGGTGATTGGATTAAACTGCCTAACAGTCATGGCTTTGCAGAAGTGTTTTGAGTGGAGTATCTTATGCAGAGCCAGATTCTATGCAAGGAAATGAGGACGTGCTTTCGCAGTAAAACTGAAGAAGTTGAGGAGCAGAGGAGTAAGATTTCCAAAAATATCTATGGGGTTGAACAGATTTCAAGGAGTCTTCTTGGCCAACATTAATATATTGTGGCAACCCTGAGTCCTAAGCAGGGACATTCTCATTCTGGGTTGTGGTACAATGTCTAGCATTTGTATTTCATTGAGTCTTCAGCATTAGTTTAAGAAAATCATGATGATTTATAGCTTAATATACAGGCAAGATCTTCAAGACTACCAGCTGATGCTTATTGAATAACTGTGGTAGGTGTGCTAGTTGATACATGCTCTGTTTGGGCAGCAGAGAAAGTGAAATATTCCCTTCCCCTGCCACCTCTGAGAAGGTTCAAGTATAGAAAGAATCTTTGGGAAACTCAGCAGTGGCAGTAGGGAATTATGAACCTGGAGAAAACAAAGTCATACCAGGGAATGTTTGTGATGCCATTATCCATGGTTCCCTGGCATGCCTGGTGCAAGTTAGCACCCTGGCCAGTCCTCCTCTGTCCTGCTCCCACCTGCCAGGGGTCTGCTGGTCATACTGGAGAGGAGGCCCTGGTCCCAGCAAGGGGCTAGGATGCCCTGTGCTGTCTGGCACAGGTGTGTGAATGTGTGGAATGTGGTGGGAAGGTGGGGATGGAAGGTGCTCATCTCAGTATTCCCTCTCCTTTGTGTATGGGAGTGTAGAGCCTGCTAATTCTTACACCTGATAAAACTCTGGAGGGATAAGATCAGCTGATTATAATTGCAAACATGTGGAATTTACAGTAAGTAGTGAGCTTATTTAACCAAGCAGGAAACAACTGGCTCATAAGAGTGTACAGTACACTGGTTATAAGAGAGCTGGAAAATCCTGGTTGTGGAAAACCTGCATAATTCTAAATAAATAGTGAGACTGGTGAATTCCAGTGCTCCTGCAGAACCTAGGCTATTCAGAAAATTTGTAGCTGAAGTTTCCCATTTACTTTTGCATCTAATTGACCTATCTGATCTTGCTTACTCTCCTCCCATTGTACAGCTGTTAATGTGGCTTCCAGCTCCCACAAGAGTGCACAAAGGGCACTTCTCTTTTTGTACACTCAGCTTTCTGGACACATGCTTTACTACATGAACACCTGTGTATATTGGGGTGCTGTCTTCCTTCTCCTGCAAGCACAGATGTCACGCTCAGAAAGTGCACTTGCTGACATTGTGCTGCAGAACAGCATGGAACCAAATGAAGGCAGCTTCTGAGAAGCTTGATGCAAGAGTATCTCCCTGCAGTTCTGACGTGCCTTGGAAAGTGGATGGAGTTCACTGTATTGCTGAGGGCCCACTGTGCCCAACTTGATAAAATCATTGGCAGTTTTTTGTTGGCCTTACCAGACGGGATGTCCTTCTTGCTCCTATCCCTCACTTTGGTCTCCCAGAAACTGAGGGGATGTCATGTGTGTGCCTGTTACAGCTACTGTTTGTGCCAACATTGTGTCCACCCATCAGAATACTGTGAAACAGCACAAAACTGATCTCACATTTCCAGAACATGTGGAAGTGCAAAGTAAGGCTCTCCTCTTCAGAGGGTGTCTCTTGTCTCCATGTTAGAAATAGGAGGTGTTTATTTTTCAGACCTCTGCTTTTCTGGCAAAGTTGGTTAAAATTGGCCAATGGCTTCAGAAGTTACTGGAGGAGAGGGAATTTATAATCAGACACAGACAAGTTGGCTTTATGTGACTGTGTGAGCCTCATTTTTTAGGAAACCATGGTAAAATATGTGGATAAAGTTGCAGTAATATTAAGGTTAGAGTTCATGCTGGCCTGTATTTCTCTCTCAATTTTTCTAGCATGACGGTGTTAGTCAGCCTGAGCTTTGGAAACTTTTTATTCCATATGCTGAAATTTTTTGAACTCAGATTCTCTATCTTCCCTCATTTTTCCTTGCTGTGTTTAATCATTAGGTAGGAAATTGAACGCTTTAAAAATAGAGGAGCTAGTTTAGAAATGTTGCTGGCTAGATTTATTTGTTTTCTTTCATAAAAAACTCAGTGTTGGCAGAACATTTTGATTCATTATGGTCCAAAATGAACATTAAAGCCTTCTGGCTAGATAGATTCCCTTGTGGCCTGCTAGGAGTCCCAGTCACCACGATGATCTTACTTGAGAAAGAAAAAACATGCTCTGCATCTGGGACCAGGGCTGTGTCCTGTTAAGGACACATGGTCAGGGAGCATGTTAACTGTGTTCTCTCAATCTTGTTTTTCACTTGAACCCAGTCTGATGAATTATAAGGTGGCTATAAGATCTATAAAGATCTAAGCAAAAGAGAAAGACAGGGAAGTATTTCGAGGTGGAGCATTGTCTGAGATCGGTGGATTTTGTTTGCAAGGCTGGAAAAGGCAGAACTGCCCACACAGGAATCAATTCCCAGCTTTTTGCTTGCCCCAGCATATCAGACAGGTACAGAAGGGTTGAATAGTGAGGTACGTATCTGGTCATGATTTTCTCATCAGGTTCAGTGAGTGTGGGAAAAGGCAATCCTGTTGTGTGAAGCGTAACCTTTAGTAGCCTATTGAATAAGGGGATGATAGCAGATGTGGCAGGAGACATTTGGGCTTATTTGCTCCTACAAATGAAACAGCTCTAGCAGGGAAAAAAAAAGCCCTTAAGAGAATTAGCTAAAACCAACGTGTCAGACAAAATTGTGCTTTGAATGCATTATAAGCACTTACTCTCTTGCAGTGAGAAAAGACAGTCAGGTGTTGATAGCATGTAGGAGGCAAGAGCTGTTATTAGTGAGTGGGAAGAAACACATTGAGTGTGGTGTGGGAGTAGGGCAGATGGGAATGAATCTAGAGGCTCTTTTGGAATCACTCATTCTGAATCATCTTACTCTCAAAGCCTCCAGTGCAGAACACCATCATTCTCCAAGGTCCGATGGCACTGCCTTGTCGAGTGTGGCATTGAGAGCAATGTTGAGTCAGCTCTGTGTGCAGTTGTAGTAGGAGATGTTCAGTGAGGGGTTTAGGTAACTACTTCAGCCAAGTAGATAGTGACTACAATACAGAGGTGGGATGCATATTCATTTATTCAAGCCCTCTGTGAAATAAAAATCTGGTAGTATTTTTTTATTGAGGTAGTTTGGTGTGTCTGTGCAGAGCCATTAATGAAACAATTTCCATGCTCATTCACTTGTGAATGCAAGGGCTTTGTTGCCAAGAGCCTGGCTCTGCAGGATACTTGGTGGGAACCATAAGAGCATGTCCAAATGGCCTAAGAGGAGCCTGAAAATGTCTAACGAGAGAGCTCTTCCTTGGACTTGACATCCATGCTATGTGCTCTGACAGAAGACATATGGTGATGGTGTTAGAAATATGGTCCTGGCCCTGCAGATCATGGTGTTGCCTACACAGTGTTTTGAGAGGCACTGCAAGCTGTCTGTCCAGGCCCCCAACAGCCACAAAATGAAGGAGGCAACAACAGATGGACTCAGTCCAGCAAGTTTGGTACTGGAGGTGTGGGCATCCCCACAGTGACACAAATGGGAGCTTGCCACAGTCTAGAAGTGAGTGCCCTGTGAAAAGTGTCAGAGCTGTGACACAAAGGCTTGTGCCTCTGACCATTTGGTGACAATTTCATGGCTCAGCAGCTTGGAAAAAGCAGGAACAGTAGGATTTCCCCAGGCCTCTCTAACCTCCAGGCCTGTGCTGGGTGTTTGTACACTGAAGGCATCTGGTGGTTTATCACTGAGGCATAGGGTCCTGTGACATGAGGACCTCCTGGTTTGCAGCTCTGGCAGTACCTCTTACCAGCTGCCACCTTAACATGTCACTCCACAATAGCAAAGTTGTAGAAGAAAACTTATTTAGACACAGGTCTGTAGAGCAAGTTTATGACTCGCCAATTACACTGTGCTGTGTATGCTCAGCTGTCTTAAGACATGGACATGCCTTGCAATGAAGAGAAAACAGTAAAAGCTGTGAAGGTGTGTTTCCTTTTTCTTTTGGCCTCTTAAGGAAGAGCACTAAGAGCTGGTGGGTTAATGCCTGACTTCTGACACTACATTGAAGCCGCACTGGGCCAGCTAGAGTCTCCCTTTGGATATTGAAGGTAGGCACATTCTTGGGGAATAGAAAATACAATCAGCAGAAGCAGATTGATAGAGAGCTTAACACAATGAAGCCTGTTCTCTGGGATTGTCACAAATCCATTAACTTATTCACTAATGGATTTTAATTCTGAACTTTTTGCTTATATTTGAAAAAAAAAAAAGAATATATAATTTTACTCGACTGTTGCTTGCAACATGCACCTTCCTGTTTGTTGCCTTTATTTGTTGCTGAATATGCTTTTAGTGGTATTTTTACTTCTCCTGTTTTGTCTGCTAATCTAGTTTACCCCCAAAGGACAAAAGAAGATTTATTTCACAAATTTACACTTGAACTTCATAGCACTAAGTGGTGGTTTTGCTCTCAGGTTTCAGGAGTGATGATGAAAGGTATTTCCCACAACACTTGTGAAATTTAAATGAAAATTAGTCCCTACATTAAATTTTTATTATACTTCAAATGTGTTATTACAATAATTGGATACTCTTTCTGGGGCTTATTATAGGTGATATTTTTTGACCTTTGTCATTAATTTTGCCTCAGATTCACACATCTACTTAATATTTATCTGTATACATGGATGGGCAGCTAGCTAGCTAAATATTAATATATTTTTAGTAAATTTCTGGACAATTGTTTTATCTGAATAGTCATGAAAAAAAATAGAAAGAAAGATAACAGAAAAATATATTTTCAGTTCCAAACTATCATGTGGATGAAAATGGGGACGGGAGGCAGGAAGGCAGGAAGGCAGGAAGGCAGGAAGGCAGGAAGGAAGGAAGGAAGGAAGGAAGGAAGGAAGGAAGGAAGGAGTGAATAGTCATAACAGAGAGGTGAAAACACACATCTTAAAAAAAAACAGTAAAAGCTGTAGATTCTGTGTTTTTCTGGAGCCTTGAAACAATTTAAAATATGAAAAACTTAGACTGATTGAGAACATTATATTGATTGGCGCTGATTTTCTTTTTTTCTTTGTTTTCAATCCAGCCTCTCTCATTATAGCCTTTTAAAATAAATAAATAAAAACTCTTTCTATAAATATCTGAGGGAGTCATTCTTATATAATAGCCCTTTCTTGCAGCAAAATTTATCATTATAACAATACTGTAGTAGTTTTGCTGGCAGAATCACAGCCAATCAAAGCTATTACAATAATGGAACATTTCATGGTTTGGAAAATTAACTGTGTAACCATGGAACTGAAATGTCTCTTAAATCATATTTGGAGATGTATCTTTCACCAAGTGATTTGCACATTATCTCATTCCATCTGAATTTTATTTTCATCAATATTTCACCATTGATTTTTTTTCCTTTTTTGTTTCTGCAGTAATTTTGCAACAGAACTTCCCATCTGCTTTCACTTTTTGCAAGCTTGATCATATTTGTTCAGGAAGCAGATCTAAGCCTTCTTTTATCACAAGGCATAATTTAACAGCTGACTAATGGTCAAGCTGTAAATTGTGCTGTAAATAACTAGCATGCTCAGTTTCAGGAGTGAGTAATACTGTTCTCAAAATTAGTAGCTGTATTTGTTTCCATACATAAGAAAGTGGCTGATGCAGTCATTGTTCCAAGACCTGAAATCAGCTCAGGGCACATGAATCCTCAGAAATTTTACCTGTTGGAGAATCAAGGAAGCCAGGCACTATTGAGTAATGGAGGTAGAAATCTGGAGGTGTTTGTTCTCTGTACATGCACCAAGTGTTTCCTGAGGTGTTTGTATGTACCTGGAGCCACTTTTGGAACTGAACTAACATGCAATCTCCTCTTTCCTAGGAACAGTGTCCGTCTCTTCACAGGAACTTCATAAAGTTTGTTAGTAGAACTCCCTGGACAACTGGAAGGAAAGATAAAATAGATATTGAAACACACAGAGAAAATAAAAATATGCAGAGAGAATAAAAACATGTCTGTAGCATGGCCATGGACTGCATTTTATCTTGTACAGCTCAGATGGGACATCTTTCCACTGGAGAACAGAGAATTCATATAGTCAGCGCCTGTAAGGTATTTACTTGTATATATGGGTTTGAACAAAATGTTGAATGAGGAAATGAAGTAAAACCTCATCTTGGTTTTCTTTTTCAGTCATGAGAAAATGTTTTCTTCAGCTTTATAATTTTTGTTTATATAGATTTGAATGAATTTTTTTGTGGATAAGGGACTACATGAATGTAATTTGCATTCTAGTTACATCTCAAAATGAAGTGACAAAATTTAAGCAAAAATTTTAGTGATATTAAGATGTGTGGATTTTTCTGGACCTATAGATTACCCATGACAATGGCAGTGGCTTGGGTGTGATTTGGGTACAGACTCAAGGTAGTTCCTCCTGGAAGGTGCAGAGACAGTAAACAGGGTTCGTGTGAGTCTTTTGTTGTGAAAGTGGTCCAGCTACATCAGAAGAGCAGCTGGGTTTATTAACTTGGGTGCAGAATGAAGCTCTCTGGGCTGGTGCATGTACAGACTGCTATGTGAGGTCAGGTAGACTCACTGTTCAGGGTCAATGTTAACCTGGGATTCTCTCACCTTTGGTGCAGGCATTGCAGTGCTATTCAGGGCACTGGCCTAGTGACAGGGATGTTGGCTGCTCTTGGGACATGATTTCTCTGATCAGAAATGCCATTTTGTACCCGAGAAAATGTTCCAGACAAACTTAGTGTGTATATTCCTGCCAAAAGCTTTGGTTTCAACTAATTGACATTTTCTTTTGAAAAACAACTTAGAAAATGACCAACAAGCTCTGGTTTCACACCCTCTGATCTGTCATCTCTGACCTGCTTAATGAAATCAGGATTCCAGTAGTTCTGGCTGCTGAACTTCTAAAAATCTTTTAAGCTGCCTTCTGCTTTTGTCTACATTTCTCTCTTACTCGACTCATCTGCAGCTATTTTCCTCTCCTTAGGGAGAACCCTGTTTCAGTCTCTTTCACAAAGGCTGCCTGCTGGTTTTCTGGCTTTTCCCTCTGCTCTTTTTTTCCCCAGAAGTGTCCATAATTAAAGTGTAATGGGAAAAGAATCATCCCAACCTATTTGCAAACTCAAATCAGGATTATGCTGATATTTGGCAAAGGTTCAGATCATGTTTTCATATGAGGTCTGGTTATGAGTCCTAAATCCTCCATCCTTGCAGTACTGTACTCACAAGCAGTTCTAGCAAGCAAGCCATTCATTACTCTGACTCATCATATGCTAAGATTTTGCACACTGTGATTCCTACAACTTTTTATTTTTTTTTAATTTATATTTTTTTTAGATAACTTATCTTGGCTTTAAACTTAATAAAAAATTAGTAACTTTTACCCTGGTTGTCACAGCATCCTAATCCCAGAAATAACCAGAATATATTCTAGACTTTGTTTGTAACTGCCAAAGGTTATTTCTTTATACAGTATTAATAATGCCCCATGATGGGGAAGGGAAATACAGGGGTGGTTCTGGATGTGTTGTGCTTCAGTGAACAAAAGCATTTGCAAATCTCCTTGCTGTGATATAGTAGATTGCAAGAATACTTTACACATATCTTTCTCAATGTGCCCATAAGTTACACAGGGTAAAAAAACCTCCTCTAACTAAAACTGGCAAGTGTTCAGAAACCACAACTATTCAGTGTATTGCCTGGCCATTTTTAAAATGTATTTTGCACTTTTGGTAGATGTTGTAATGCATTCAGCACAGTGTGAAGTCTTGGCATAGATACTAGATTCTAAAATAAGATGAGCTCTGCCTTTTAAAAAAGAAATGTTTGCCTGTGAAATACCTTTGCTATTAAGGGGTTTTGGGAAGGGGGATAGGAAATGATTATGATGCTGTTACCACTGAGAAAATTGATTTTGAATTTTGATAAATAATCAAAGCAATGGACAAAGCCCTTCTCAGTGAACACTGAGTGGGCAGAATTTTATCATCTTTATATGTTAGTCTCCTTCTCCAAAAACCTCTTAACAGTCGAATGTGCTCTTGTGTTGTGAATGTGAAGGTGGCATGTGATTTGGCAGAGTGGGCAGAGGTCTGTCCCACAACACACAGTTTCTGAGATTGTTTCCTCCACTGCAAATTGCACATCAGCAGCTTCTTTCATGGGGACTGGTTTAGCCACTGGCTGGGGGCAGCCTTCAGAAATGCTGATGGGTTGGCTAACTCTGTCAGACTCCTTTCAGTGAGCACAGACCTAGATAAAGGTGCAGAGCAAGAGAAGCTGTGGCTAACAGTGTGGGATTTGCTCGCCTTCAGCAGGGCTGCAGCCTTGGTGTAGGAATGTAGGCACTGTGGTTGTTGTGTGGATAACACACCTGAGAGGTGCAGTGCAGTGTGCTGGACAGGTCCTTAGTGCTTGCACAGAATATAAAGGCTATGCAGATGATAAGCTTTTGTTAAAGGTGGGAATGTTTTATGAGTAGAAAGGAAGGAGGGGGATTAAGTATGCCCATGCAAAATCTACACTGAGCTCCATATATGTGAAATTCCTGCTGTGACAGCGTGAAGAAAATAAATGAATTCAACTGAAGAGGACTGAGCAATCTGTCATATCTATACAACAGATACTCTTTCCAGCTTGTGTCAAGTTGGAGATCTCTTGCTCCCTCCCAGGTTCTCCTGTGATGTGTTTTGTACTTCAGGTTTAGTGGTCCTTCAAAGTGCCTATGGAACATCCTCATCCTTTCTAGAGGAATGAACAGTGGAACAAGCTCTTTATCAAAGCCCTGGAGTGACTGCCCTCCAGACTGTGCCAATGCTGAAGTGCAGGAGGAACAGGTGGGCATTTTGCAGCTGTGGTGTGAGGTGCTGGTTCGTGCCTGCACACTGCAGTGGCTGTTAGAGTGTAACAAGGAACAAACAGTGTGTGCTAGCCCTGCTCTGCTTTTGATGTGAAATACAGTGTTCCTGAAGCACTCCCATGAGAAAGAGAAAGAATCTGGAGACTAGCTGTAGCTGGAGGGGCTCTGTAGTCTCTTCTGCAACAAAGAGACTAGTTGCATCAAGTAACTTGGCCTCAGCCACTTGATGGTGCCGAGAATAATGTGGTTATTGAAATCAGTGTTAAAATGATGGCAGAGGTACAGGGTGTCTTTGTTCTCTTACTGTTAGCATTGACTCTGAGATTCTGTTCTAGTCTTAAAGTAGTATCTCTGTTATGTGCCATGAAAAAAAAACAAAACGAGAAAACACAATCAGCAACATAAAATGTTGTAGCCCTTTCTACCTTTTCCTTTCTTTTTCTCGATATTTTGGTTTCTTTCTAAGTCAGGTGGGAGCTGATTGGTGTAAGGAATCTTTCTCCTCCTGACAGCTGATCACATTTGTACTTTGACCAGAGCGCTTCTGGTGGTCTTGCAGGGCCCCAGGAGTCAGCAGGGCTCGCCGCAGAGGCGCTGGCTCTGGCAGGCTCTGCCCGGGGTGCAGCTGTGCCGCCTTGCAGTGCCGGGTGATGTGCTGAGGAGCTGCTGCTCCTGCCCGCTCCGGGCAGTGCCGGGTGATGTGCTGAGGAGCTGCTGCTCCTGCCCGCTCCGGGCAGTGCCGGGTGATGTGCTGAGGGGCTGCTGCTCCTGCCCGCTCCGGGCAGTGCCGGGTGATGTGCTGAGGGGCTGCTGCCCCTGCCCGCTCCGGGCAGTGCCGGGTGATGTGCTGAGGGGCTGCTGCTCCTGCCCGCTCTGGGCAGGGCCATGCTCTGGGCAGTGCCATGCTCTGGGCGCTCCTGCCAGGGGCTGGCCTTGTTGCTGTGCTCCAGGGTGCTCTCCTCATTAACATGGTTTGACCCCGTTACCCGTGTTGTTCGCTTCCATCCATGATCCCTCACGCGCGCTCCGCCACCATTACTGAAGGGCTGGCTCTGGGAGCCAGGGAGCCTTGCAGAGCACCTTTGTCACTGCAGCCAAGCTGTGGTGGGAGGGGGGTGTCCCCCGGCTCCGAGCCCCTTTTGCTCCTGTCAGCTCTGCAGTGTGCTGCCGCTCCCGCAGCTGCGCCCTGGAGCAGAATAAACCTAAATTGGTTTGTTTATTAGGGCTCCAGGGAGCTGTTTCGCAGCCCTGGAAGCTCGTCTCGTGTGTTTCCCTTGCAAGTGCCGTCCCTGTCTCACAGGGTATGCCTCTGAAGTGCTTCCAGCTGCACCTCTGAAGTGTTCTGCTGGGAACCTGCAGCCCATCCCCGGGCAGCACGGCAGGCAGCAGCCGCTGCTGCTTCGGGAGCTCAGGTTATTGTCCTCCCTTGGCACAGCCCGTCTGGCTCTGCCGTGGCTGGGTGTTAGTGCCTGGAGGAAGGACCGGCGCTGGAGATGTAGCCGGGCAGCGGCTGCCTGCAGCATGCAGGGATGATATCAGCGCTTCCGAGGGGATGGATTGTGGCCCTGGGATGTGCTAAGCGCTGCAGTGAGGGTGGAGGTGCCCTGCCGCAAGGCCGTGCATTGGAGGGAACTTTTGCCCCCGCTGCCATCCCCGCCCGTGGGCGAGGGAGAGCTGACACGGGCCCCTGGCCCGGCTGGGTGCTGCTGCCCGGGCTGCCAGAGCTCCAGGCACTCCCCTGGGCACTGCGCTGAGGCTGGCCCCTGCCCAGGTGTGCTGGGGAGGGGAAGAGGGCTCCATCTGGCCTCTTTGTCTTGTGCACCCCTGGGAAAGGAGAGCATGATTTAGCTCCAAAGCATTAAACAAAAAACCCCCTGAAATACTATCCCTCCACAATTGTCTAACCCTTTATGGCTTAATATAAGCTTGCCTGAGGATTGATGAGGAAAGGATGTTACTCGTGTTGGTAATTACAAGTTTGCTCCTTTCAGTGTTTTTTATTCCGATTGTTCCACTTCAACATTTAGCCTTTGTCGTAGGTGTGTGCAAACGCATTCTGCTGTGTCAGGAGCTTTACTTAGCTATTCATGTGCTCATACCCTTGGTAAGATACTTATCCTTTCAGGCAGATCAAAGACATATGTTTGATCGTTTGGAATAGGTAAGCAGGAAGAAAGAAATCTCTTAAGAGTGATGACATGGTATAACTGCTAAGTAACCAATACAGTTACATACATACATGTGCACGTCCCTGTAATCATTACTGTTGCCCATGACACAGAAATACTGTGAAATTCAACTGCAGTTGAAATCTTGTAGTTAATTGCAATGGCTGTCAGTCAACCTGTCTTACCAATGATGTTTTTTTCTATTTCAGTGATCTTCTCTCTTCTATTCAAGAGATAAGCTTCTGCCAACAGAGAGAGAAAATGTAAGTTTTGGTTTAAGAAGCAATGTTTAGACCTGGGTGATGAAAGTAAAATGCAGAATTCTTCCCTCTCCACACAAAACCAAAGGCAAAAGAGCTAACAGTTGATTACTGGGATTCATTTGAAACTCCATGTTTCAGTCACAATATAAGCACGTGATGTAGTCAGTGTTGAATAGGAAATGTGTCGAGATGCAGGTGCTCTGTTTATTTGTAGATTGCAGTGTGTGGATAGATAAATAAGTTTCAGTTTAGGAACAGACATTTTTGCATACTGGAGTGTTTAGAATTCAGACAGCCACGGCACTCAGACAGCAGTGGGTCTGCAGGAACAGGCCTGTGATGTGTGGAACAGATAACATTCAGCAGTGCAGAGACAAGCAAGCTCTGTGCAGTGAGGGGCTGTGTGAGCTGCAGAGGAGCTCGTTCTGGATCAAAGCAGTGTAATGCAGAGCTAGCCTGAGCTCATTAGCCTGGGCGTAATGCCATGCTAATATATCTATACTACTCCCAGGACCCAGGCTAATGGCTCAGCATGGTGCTATGCTGGGTACTCACACCAGCTGGTGCAGGGATTTCTGCATTGTATAGTGTAGACATGCCATAAGGTTTTCACACCAGCTCTGTAAGCAAAGAGAAATGGATTAAGGGAAAGATATAGCCCAAGACTTTAAAGGGCAGAGATGTTTAAATTTGGGTTCCTGAATCCTTGCTCATGAGGAATCCAGTGTAAATGTTACAGAAGTCAAGGACAGTCTTTGGACCAAACTCAAAAACTCCAAAGTCCAAAGTACCTAGTAATTCCTACTGATGTGATTTTTCAACACTATTTAATTGCATCTCTGGAAAACAGGTTTGTTGAGCTAGTCAGTCAGATGCTGTGCTGTCTTTTGAATTTATCAGGAATGAAAAATGAAAGCTTCCACCCTTGTTCAAGGAACATTTATATGAAATGTGAAAATAATACCCTGTTGTCTCTCCCTCAAATACAAGGAACAAGTAGTACATGAACAAGAAGTGGTTGGACTGGGTTATTAGTTAATAATATGTAATAATAATGTTAGTAATGATCTAACTGTCCATCTCTGGCTGAAGATTTTTTTTTAAAAAAAGTAAAAAAAGAAGTACTAATGTTTGAATTATATTTTTATTGATATTTTCACTGACTTGATTATATGCAGTAACCTGTACTTACTAAGGCTGTAACTCTATGTGTAAAAAATACCAAAAACAAAAACCCAAACCAAACAAACTCAAACTACAAAAGAGATAATTATGTAATTGTGGTCCAGATGTACTTAGGAAGTACAGGAAATTGCAGAACTTAACCTGCTGTCGTATCCAGTAGAGCTTTAGATTGCTCAGTGAAGAGTTTAGGCCCAGCAGACTCAGTGCACAATTAATTCCCAACATGGGAGCTGGTATCAACTAACTGACATACATAGGAAATGCAAAATCTTCCAGTGGGAGTTCTGCCCAGGAACTACAACTTCTGGCCTCAAACAAGCAGGAGGTAGACAGTTTGTCTGAAAAGCAGTTATATATTATTTCAGAAAATGTCATACTGACACTACAACTCTACATACAGGCACCAGAACTAGCACAAGAGATTATTGTCACTGAGCGACAATAATAAAATATTTATAATGTCCAGTTCAAATATAAACTATTCTAAAATGTAATCTGGTGGGATTTCAGTGAATGAGTAAGGAGACAGAAGTGTGAGGGTCAGAACTGGGTAGAGCTATCTGTCAGGGAGAGAGGAATTAAATAGTTTTTCTTTGCTAAGACTCGTCATTTTCCTTCTTTTAGCATTACTGAACACATTCTGGAGATAGATAAGAAATACCTATTTTGCTAACTTCACAGCTGAGGAAACTGAAGGAGAGTGATTAAATGTTGCATTTTCTGTGTAAGTAACTTGTGTCCCACAGAAAGTCTAACCTGGGATTGTTGTGTCTGTAATAATGCCCCAGAACTTCTTTGCCATCAAGGTCATTGATACTGCAGTGATAAAAACCCCACTAAAAATCAAGGCTGATATGTTTCGGATTCCCACTGTTTTCACTCTAGCAGTAGTATACTTGACTTTAATACCTGTTTTTTTGATTCCTTGGATGCTTTTCTATTTCTTGAAAATTATTGCATATGCTTGTGCTTTGAACTAAATGAAAACATATATGACAACTATAACTGACATCTTAAATACACTGATTTAAAATTGACAGTTATATCTTCCAGTAGCATTTCTATGATTTTGGAAACATTGTATGGTAAATTTCTCTTAGAAAAGTCAGTTCTCTAACACTGTTCATGGCTGAAGCAGGATGCATGGAAATAGTACCTGCTGCAGAATGCCAGGAGGTGCTAAGGTCAGATCTCTCTTGGGAAATGGTAATAAATGGTAGCTCAGCTGCTGTGTTCTGAAAATATTTGTCAGATAAAACTGTTACCTATCCAAGAAAGATTAGAATCTTCTGTGGCACAGATGGGAGCGTGTAACTGTCTGATCTAACATGTGATTAAGTATGTGCCAGTACCCAGAAAGCTGTAGCTTTAAAATGCAGCTCGTGCAGCATCAACAAAATTGTATTTGCAGTCTAAACAGGGAGCTATAAAGTGGTGTTGTAACAGTGGTAAATGCTTGTACTCTAGTGTGCCCCAAAGGTTGTCAGGGCGTGTTCTAGGGGACTGTAAAAAGGATTAGAGAACATGGAAAGATGTTTCTGTCAAAACAGGATTCACAGTAAATATTAATCTTCCATGTGATTCTAAACTGCATTTCTGGTGGAATCTTGGTGATGGCTCTCTGGTGCTTTAGTGCTCCCAAGAAGTACTTACTGAAAGTAGTATTTTTAAAAATCCTTGACTGCTTGGACAATTTCTTTGTATTCCTACCAGGCCACCTGTCCTTGTTTCCACCCTCTGTAGGCTTCCTTTTGTGTTTGAGTTTTTCCAGGAACTCCTTGTACACCCACACAGACCTGACATTTTTACCTGACTTCCTTTTTGTTGGGATGCCTCCTTCCTGAATTTGGAAGAGGTAATTCCTGAGTATTACCCAACTTTCTTGGGCCTCTCTTCCTTTCAGGGCTTTATTCAATGGTATTCTTACTAAGTAAGTATTCTTACTAAGATCCCTGAAGAGTGCAAAGTTTGCTCTCCTGAAGTCCAGGACAGGGAACTTGTGTGCTCTCCTCACTTCCCCAGGGATCTTGAATTCCACCATTTCATAGATCCCTTAATTTTTTTAAAAAATTTAAACTTTTCAATATAGTTTAATTTCCTTAATATTTTTTTTTTTTAGTTTCTCACTTGCAGGAATTTGTGGTGGGACTTGTGGGGGAAGGTGACTCCTGCATCAATTTTCTTTCCTAGGTTTGAAAATCATTTAGTGTTGTTTCTCATGGGGCAACAGAGCTCTGGAGTCATGTGATTAAAAGCAGCCTCTTTTTGCCAATAAGCAGGCCTGTTAGAAGGTGTGTTGAGGGCAGAGCAAAGCTGTTTGTTGGCTTCTTTGGAAAAAGCAGTTTAAGGAATCAATTTGCAGCTTTTCCAGTTTCAGCATACAGTCTTGTAGTGTCCTTTTCCTCAAATTTCCAGTATTTTTTGTGTGTGTTAACTGATGACTCTGTGCTTTCTAACAGCAAAGTTGGGTTCTAGAGTTTGCCATGTGCCCAGGCAGTCTGTGCACTCTAAAGCCCTTTTGTAACACAAAATTATACTTTGTAAAGCCAAGAAAATGAGAGGGTGCTGCTGCTGCCCTCCTGAGAGGCACCATTGCCTCACTGGTCCCAGAGTCTGGGGGATTGTGACCAGCTGGCTGAGATGGCCAAAGGGTTGTGTTGTTCAAGTGCTTCAGGTAAAGCTGAGTCCCATTAGTCAGCCCTGGCACTGTGGACAGACTCCTCTGGGGCAGAGCAGTCCTTCAGTGTCCTGGGAAGTTACATGCAGTGACCTCTTCTCATCTGCCATACAGCAGAGACCTGGCTAGCAAAGGGCAGAAAGAGCAGGATCTCTTTCTGGGAAAGGGGACAATGACACCTTTTTGCTTCATGATTCCACCTCTTTGCTGGGAGGTATGAAAAGAGTTACTTCTTTTTGCTCTTCAGTAGCTTTGTTTAATATTAAGAGAATTGTTTGCTGCTAACACAAAGTGTCCTTTGGAAAGGACATGTGTCTCCTTCTCCTTTGTTTGATTCTAAACAACGTGGAGAAGGAGGTTTTGTACCACGTTTTGCTGACTCCGTGTGTTCACGCTCACAGAGAGTCACTGCTGTTTCTGCTTGTGAAAAATTTGCTGAGGTTTGGGAGAAGGTAAGCAGGGGAATGGTGAGAACAGGGGATGCAAATATTTATCCTCCTTTCAATCATGGTTTCTCATTTAAAAATTACTAAGCAGCAAGTGGTTTGCCATTTCCTTTATTTTGCTTATTGGCACGTGAGTCTCAACAGTCATGGACCAATCCTGTGAGAAGATCTCTCTGAAGTATCTGGGATGAGCTACACTGAATGACATACTCCAAAGAGCAGTGGATCTTAGAGGCAATGGCTTTTGTCTGCTGTTTAGGTAACCAGCTTAGAAATAAAAATAATAAAAAGACTGTATCTGGATCATTTTGACTTCAGAATGACTGATTTCAGAATGGCTTTAGAAGTGTTATAAGAGTGGTAAAGAAGGGATCCCTTAGATGGCCCATCTGAAAAGCAGCAGTAAAGGAATGAGATGCAGGAGAAAACAAAACAAAGCTGTTGGTGTTGTGAGGAGCACTGGCAAATAAGCCTGTGGTAGATGTGTGTGGGATTTTCACGGAATGAGAGCAGTGGTGTCTTCCCCTAAGTATTAGACAATTTCTGAACTGCATCTTTCCTCTGCTAGCAGGACATCATGTCAGCCATGAGCAAGCCTTGGTAATTCCTGTGCTCTTAGCTGGGTTACCTTACCGCCCTGGCAACCAAAAGAACAAACTTAATGAGCAATATTGTAAAAACACACCATATAATAAATTAATATTTCATTTTTCTTCTAAAAGACAAGAAATTCCTTAAATAACATAAAACTTGTTACTGATATCAGTGCAGTGATCATCCTGGCACTGTTAAAAGGGTTTCTGGGGTTGTTTCACCAGAAATAATGCTCACGATTTGGAGATGATGGCACTAGTTCATGTTTTTCCCGTGCCATGGGGAGCTGTTATTATAGGGGAAGCTGGCAACTATATTTTGTTTTCTATCCATTCTGCTGGATCACATCTATTCAACCTCAGCTGTTTGTGTAAATATGTATATATACATTTGCATACATTTGAATCTCTTTATCCTGTATACTATTCTTAGATGTCTCAATGAATTAGAGAGAAAGAACTAATACACAATTAAGAACGAGTTTTAAGATTGTTTTCTATGTATATATTTAGGCCATGAAGAATTGCTTACTTGAACGTATCCAGTTCTAAGCTGTGTAGGGATTATTGTAAGCTATGTATATGTCTCTGCTGATATAACAATATAGATGAGGTAACACATGTGATGAGGGACATTTAAAAAAAATATAGCACAGGTAGCATTATAAAATACTGTTTGAAGATCTGAAGATCTTAAACGAGATAAAAAAGTCTGGTTTTCATACTCTAAACTTCTTAACTTCCTTACTGATATTTTTAATGTTTGGGGTTTTTTTAAATTAAAAATTAAATTTGGAGATTTTATGAATCCCTCTTCTTCCCTGTTGTCATGTCTTCAAAATGATTTTTTTTTTTTATGTCCACAACTACTTACTAGCAGAATCTGGAGACTTAGGCCTCTTTTTCATAGTTCTTAGTGAGAAAGAATGGGCAATGGTAATTAAAAAAAAAAAAGTAAAATATTTTTTGTTTGGGTGCTTGGAAAATCATTAGCATTGTGGCAGTACAGAAGGATTTTATACTGGCTGAACTTTCACTGAAATTTCTTTTATATGTCTAAAATACTGACAAAGAATATGTCTGCATATGAGAGTTAACCCCAAAATGTTTGGGGTTTGGATATTTCCACTTTTTTCCCCCCTTACAATAATATTTCAGTTGCATTCTCTTGAACTGCAGTCTTTATTTCTGTGCACCTCAAATAAAGGTTCCCTGTATCTTAACAGTTTTCTTCTCACTTCCTTAAATGCTATAATGAGAAATTTTTGTACCTACCTGTAGATCTGCTAAGTTACTGTAGGAGTATGAGAAATCAAATCCTCAAAGGCAGAGATTTGCACAAATTCTGGACCCTCACTTTTCTCTCAGCAGGGCCTTGCTGCTACAGCAGTGTCTGCTGTTAGTGAAAGAAAAGACAATTGGATCTGGTTTGTGCTCAGCTCACTAAAAGGAGGATCTAGAGCTGGAAATAAAATATGACCTTTTTTCTTTTTCTGAGCTCAAAGTTTCAGGTTATTTGGATGCAAAGGGCTTGGCTTGGCTGCTTCCAAGCTTTATAAACAATATTAGCATCTCTGTTTGGTTGCTTCCCCAGAGGCCACTGATACCCTCAAAAGGAGAATTAGTAGAGGCAACAATTGCTATTTTGGCAGCAGTTAGTGGTCAGCAACTTTACCTGTGCTTAAAATACAAAGTTTATGTTGGGGATTTCGAAGGGGTCTAAATGAGTTAGGCAATAAATGAAATTTGATGAGAGCTTTGTGCCAATGCTCCTTATGCTTCCTTGAAAGTTCCAGATTAGTTTACATCATTCTGGCCTCCTGGGCCAGCATGGTGATGAATCACTGTGAGAAACCAGACAGAGTTGCTGATAGGATTTCCACAGAAACCCAGGTTGAGGAAATACATGCATAGTTTCATTGCCCAGCCCTCTCTGTGGCTATGTTGCTCACTTTTTAAAAAGAAAAAAATCTGGGGCACATTTCTACATGATAGTGAGCATACACTG